GTTTATTGAGAAAAATAAAACTACATAAAATACAAGTTTCATGCAAAACATATAAAAATCATTTCTTCTCATTTATGTGGCATCCAAGACTTAACAATTCACAAGTTCAACACAGTCTCTAGCCAAAAACTCTCAGAGAAGAGGCACACTACTTAGTTATTGGTTACAACTACATAACCTATAAAACTGATTACATGATGACTAAAATCCTACTAGGCAGTGAGGCATACAATCACCCACAATTTATTGGAACTATGCACCTCCCCTTAGGTAACTAGCATGCAGGTGCCAATAGGGGGCAGTAAATAGCAGTACACGTGCAAACCAGAAGGCCAGTGCAGGTGGCGTGACTTCTGCAGCCAAACAATTTTGTTTGAAGATAGGCAATTTGTTCTTCCCATGAGAATATCCTAACATGTCCCTCTGTCCAAAGCTTGACCAGGGAGAGGGCAGCCCTCCTGCAGGGGACATGAGGGCAGTGGCAACCAGCCAAGGCCAGCAGGGACAATCTGTGGCAGTTCAGTGTCTTCCTGGCCCACTTTCGCATCCCTCCCTGAATTCTGGCCAAGGGGGAGAGGGTGTAACCGTACGTGGGAACGACCTGGGAGGCAGGAGGAAGAGCCGCAGATGGCACAACTGGCATGTAAAAGATGTCTCAGCCCACAGAAGGAGAGGGGGAGGCACGGGGAGCGTTTTAGAAGGGACCCTCCCTAGTTTTCCGGAGAGTAAAAGGGAAGGGGGAGGGAGAAATACTTTCAGTCTTGCAAGATTGGTGCTAGCCCTGCAAGGTAGTCCAGACAAGAAGCAGAACTGTGAGTGCCAATGCTGTCTTCGCTGTAAGGTTACATTAACAGAATCTTGCAAGACTGAAAGTAACCCTGCCCCTAACCCCTCCTGTCTCCCAAGGTCATTCCCACATATTACGGGGGAGGGGAGGGGATATCCCACATATTACGGGGAGGGGAGCATCCCCAGGTGGTCTTCACACCAACTCTGCAGCTTCAGGGCAGGATGTGGAACTGTCTTCCCCACTCCCCGGGCACCTCTCCAAAGGGCTGGGCCTCTGCTCTGCTGCCACCACTGCTCCCGGTGTGCGGCTTCCGCGCCGTTTCTGGCTTTGCCGGCCCCGACGCTGCTCCTCTTGTCCCGTCAGGCTGCTCTTGTGTGGCGTTTGCATCCAGCTTCCTGTGTGCAGCTTGCGATCGGTGCTGGGAGGAGCACGAAACCTTCTTTGAGTCAGAGGAGACACGCCGCAAAGGTGGCCGGCCATGCGGTATGATGGGGGTCGCAGGGAAGGTTGCAGCCCCTCCCCTTGGAAAGTTCAGCTCCCCCTCCCATGTCCTTGCTGTCCAGTTGCAGCCACAGGGGCTTTTTATTTAGTTATTTTATTTATATTTCAAATTTGCCACTGCCTGTCTCACCGCAGGCTTCCTCAGAGTCCTTCAGTGGTGGGGAGTCCTCACCTTTGGCCTTGGCGAGGACCTGCCCCAGAACCTCAGGAGCTGTTCACACAAAGGCCTTTGGGGCTGGGGCTGTCAGGCAGCGCAGCACCCTCCTCTCCCCCACAACAGAAAAAAGGCTGCGGAGCCCTCTGGCCCTCCCCAAAGCCGGCTCCTTACTCCACACCCATTCAGCAGGACTCTGCCTCCGCTGACGCTTGTGACCATCATCCAGGGCTGTCCCAAGGAGAATGCCTTGCAGGGCTCTAGCCCTGAGGTTGCCAAGGGGTGAATTCGCTCCCTGCTCTTCTCCCTTGTTGATGCAATCCCAAGCCGCTCGGGTGAAGGTGCAAAGCCAGCCAGCGCCCTTGGGCTTCGTGGGGGCCCGGCTGAGACGGGAGGCCCTTCATGCAGGCCTCGGACAGAGACCACCCGAGGGGGGAACCGACCTCACCCCAAGACAGGAAATTGTGCTTTGGGGCATCAACTGCAGCTGGATGAGGGGTTTGCTTATAAACTGAAGCAGAAACCCCATGGGTGGCAGGCCCGTCCCTTCTCTGCCAGCCAGCGCCCTTGGGCTTCGTGGGGGCCCGGCTGAGACGGGAGGCCCTTCATGCAGGCCTCGGACAGAGACGACCCGCGGGGCGAACCGAACTCACCCCAAGACAGGAAATTGCGCTTTGGGGCATCAACTGCAGCTGGATGAGGGGTTTGCTTATAAACTGAAGCAGAAACCCCATGGGTGGCAGGCCCGTCCCTTCTCTGGGGGCTCGTTTCCCACTGCTGCTCCGGGGGGGCCCTCGGCATGCGTGTCCCACACCTGCGGCCTCTCTTTCCCCAGGAGAGTCTTACCTGCCCTTTGCTGAACTGCCCGAGCTGCGCGAGGCTGTGCTGACGGGGCGCCGCGAGGACCCTTCTGCCTCCTGGGCTCTGCCGGGCCAGGCCTGCCAGGCCCTGCCTGCCCCCTCTGGCTCACGGGCTCTGCCTCTTCCCCCCCCAGGCCCCCGGCGGCTCCTGCAGAAAGACGACAAGAAGGCTTGAGGGCAGCCTTACCACACGTCCTGGTGTGCCACAGGAGGCAATAAAGGGAGCTTGCTCGGCAGGCGTGTCTATGGCCGTGTCTTCGGAGCCCTGAGAGGATGGGCGTGAGACAGGCTGAGGGCAGGAGGTGGGGGCCTTTCTGCTCCCCCGGGTGGGTGGCTGGCAGGATCCCTTCTGTGCCCAGCAGGGTGTGGGTGTCCCCTGCCCAAGCTGCCAGCTCTGCAGGGAAGCTTAAGGGACAGGTGAGCAGTCCCTCCTTCAGAAAATCACCCACCCTCTTGATGCTCCATCCCAGCCGCCAGAGCCGAGCCTCTGGGACGGTTCTGTGCTGCCCACGGGTGGGCCGGGAGCGGGTCCTGAGCTCCTTGGAGCTGTATTCCACCCCAGGCCTCCACGGTCAGGGCAAAGGAGCCCCTTCGGCCCTCGCCTTTGCCGGCGTCCAGGCCCTCCACTTTTGTGCAGCCCCAGGAGAGTTTCAGCACATCCCCGGGGAAAGAGCTGCTAACTGCAGGAGAAAGGCCTGTGCCTGGTCGGGAGGGTGCGGTTGGCAGTATCGGAGGGCATTAAGCTAGCCAGGTGCTCCTCTTCCCTCCAAGCAGGCATCCAAGCGTGCTAGATGAGCAGAAACAGGCTGGGATGAACTGAAAAGGGCTTTCTCCAGCAGAGGGATGCTGGCGTGGCTCAGCGTTTGTCTGCTCGGTCGGGGCCGGGCAGTTGCTCCTAGGAGCTCCCACCTCAGAAAGCACCCCCTGCTTGGGTAAGGCAGCCGGAGCCGGCAGGGGGCGAGTCTGGAAGGCACTGAGCCGGGCATCTCCTTCTGCCATCCTGGAGTTCTGTTCCAGTTGGGCAGCAAAACTGCACAGAGCAGCCTGTGACGGCCTCGTAGCTTCCTCCTCGGCTGATTCCGCCTGGCCGGTCACTCGCTCAGGTGGCAGGCGTGGCGCAGGCAGCTTTGGTGTCTGTCTGAGCTCAGCGCCATTCCCACCAGGGGCAGGGGGGCGGTCCAGCACTGGTGGCATTCCCTTACAAGGGGCGGCAGGGGCCCTGCGGATTTTTCTGGTCCGGGGGGCTTGCTTTGAATCTCCCTTTAGTCAGGGACATCCTCTGGGGTTGCACGGTCTGGGGCACTGCAAATCCCCCTCCCGTTTCTCTTTGTTCCTCTCAGAAGCAAAGTGCCCCCCCGCTTCCAGAACCTGTGTGAACTCCCTGCCTGCCCATGTGCAAACCCAATTAGGTTACGAGGGTGTGCAAAATATTTCCACAAAGCACATCACGTTTCAAACGTGAAACAGAACACGGGCATTGTGAATGTGGCCTGCCAGCCAACCCCTCGTGCAGGCTGCTAATTCAGAGAGAATCCACATCCTCCCGGAGGAGATGAGACGCGGTTCTCGGTCGCGTACAGAGCCAGATTACCCCAGCCGGGTAGAAAAGTTTGGGTCCTTTTAAAAACAAGTTGCTGGGAGAGAGCAGCCTCCCATTAAAGTGGGATTGCTCCCCAAGCTAGAGAGGGGCCGGGTAACCGAAACAGAGGAAACGACTCGTCTTTGTCTGTCGAAATGGTTTTTCGCAAGGCTGATTCCCCCCCACTAAGCTGCATGATCGGACCGCAAACTTCAGCCCTCGGGCTGGGCTCCTGAAGCTGCAATATTTCTGCACAGCCTTGTAAGCAGCCGTGTTAACCCGGAATCCCCTATCCTGTCTTTGGACAGAGATGCTGGAGCAGAGATGGCTCGATTCATATCCAGCCATCACCACCTTGTGGTCTTCTGGGGGCGTCCGCTTTCTTTCAGGTGTTTCTTTTGTTTGCCCGAATTACCGGCTGTTTTTTGTTGCGAGGCAGGTTCTGCAATTTATCTTCTTCAGTGATGAACGTCTGCGTTTATGTTTTATTTTTGCTTGGTTTTGTTTCTCTCTCGCAAGGTTGGCCCATCTCCTAAAGGAGAAAACGAGAGCTGCCTAATGGGGGGCTACGGAGAGGAGCTCCCGGGAAGATTGGCGGGGGCCCAGAGCCCCCCGCGCCCGAGGCCTCGTCCGGGGGTCCCGCTGCCTCTGGCACCTG